GACTCGATGGCACCTAACAACAACAACAACATTGTTTTTAGTATATATAAATAGGGAACTACATTATGTAAACACTTTAGATAAAAGGGTCACTAAGAAAATCTACTTCTTACTTTCTCCTAAATGCCTGTGGTAAGGTTACATGTATTAGCACCTAGAATGTAATAAAATTCTAGAAGAAAATAGCACAACAAGGAAAGAAAAAGAGAATTGTTTTCAAATAGAAATGGCTTACCCAGTATCTCCCATGATGCAACCAGACCAAGTGTCTTCACATTTACACTCACCTAGAACAAAATGAATGCACACAAATGCCTTTTTAACAAAGTGCAGTAGATGCATTTCCTCCTTAAATATCTTATTAAATACTTGTTTTCCAATTTTCCTCACAATTGGGATTTTTATGCAATCCATAGCAACCAAAATAGACTTTGATTTTATGAAGATTGCATGTTTTTGTAACATTGTATTTTAACCTTATTTACTTACAAGTCATGAAAACTGACTTGTAAGTAAAGGAGGATAAGCAATATTATAGAATCAAAGTATATTTTAATGGTTGCTTTTACTTACAAAGTTCATATACGTTGTTTTTTCACATACGTTTTTACTGACATATAGTCTTCTGGTATTTTTTTAAAGGGGATATATTTTTTAAAATATTCTCTTTAAATGGCTTAAATGTAATACAGTAAAATACCAGTGAAATTGTGAATAATAATATGGCACCACAACAGGATACCAGTTCTGTTAGTTCATATATGAATTATCACAATTTCTAGTCCATTTTTAAAAGCCTTTGCACAAAGACTGCTACTAGAAGGTATTTCACTGTAACCCTTAAGCATATGTGCTTCAGAATTGGAGCTACTTGAGTTCAAGTCCTGGTTCTATCTTGTCTCTATATCTTTTACCATACAACAAATTATTTTCATTAAACAAGTGAAATAAAGAATCCCATTTCCCAAAACATGTCATAGCTTGTTTTACATACAACTAAGCCACACACACGTACCAACACTTACCACTTGCTAACTTTCTTTTGTCAGAAATGATACCAATATTATGGGCTAAGGACTGGGCAAGTGTAACTGCCATTAAACCAGTTTTCCCAAACTGAAAAACAAAAATGAAACATATATAAGACAAAGTGGTTTTAGTTAACTGAGTCAGAGAAAATGTCACAATATAATTAAAATTAAGTACTAGCCAACTATTTTTCTTTAGCAGCTGCTGAACACATAGTAAGAAATAAATTTATAGTTGTTAAGTCTTAGAGACAAAAAGACAAACCAGAGAGTGATTTATCCACTCTGGGGTCTGGAAACAAATCTATTTCTGAAAACAAATTTTAGGTGTGACACTCAAGAAAAATGTAATACTTGTATAGCCAGAATCCTGTTAATAATATTAAATAAAAATGAATGTGTGGCTTATTTAGAACTTACTCATCTTTGTTTACCTACATTCCTGACATTTTCCCAAATAGAACTGAAAGTGGATTCAGGAAACAAGTTACATGAGGTAACAGAGAAGTTTGGTGAGAACTTTGGCCAATGATACTTGCGTTGAACTGGAGATATTTATTTCAACAGGTAGTAGTCTCCCAAAGATTCACATTTAATTCTTTTTTTCATTTTTATGAGGCTCTGCCTCAGAATTAAAGTGAAAGCCTAAACTTAGTATATTTTCTTCTCTTACAATCCGAATAGTACTAAGTAAGAGAAATTTTCCTATTGAGTTGTCATGAAGTAACTTAATGCTTCAATTCTCTAAATACTCCATGACAAATAGGAACTTACTTCCAATGAAAGCAATAGTGAAATCTCCATATATCTAAACTGATAACTGGCCTTTCATGGAAATTAGTCTAGAAAGACTATTAATCGAATTATCAGAAAACATCTTCCATTATTTTCCATTTTGTCCCCTGTTCATTTATAGTAACTATATTAATTAGTAAGAAAACAATTTAACATCTGGAATAAGCAGAAAACTGAGCAATTGTCTCTTAACTATTAGGAAAGCATTTTCAGCATCATACCACTTTGTATTGTACAGATGTTCACACCTACTTCATTCACGCCTCCTCCTTTCAGCAATGAGCAAATCCCACCAATATAAGCTGCCCCGCTCCGGCTACTCTCAAATTGACTCCCCCTTTTAGAAAAGGAAATGAAAAATGCTTACTGCTCACAGTTCAAATGCCATTGCACCTCTCATGATTAAGTTAGTATATTTATTGCCTCACTATACATTAAGATTTTTATACTATATAGTCCTGAGTTAAAAGAGAAATTTAAAAATTGTTTACACACATATGTAAATATATTCATACAATGTTTTTCCAAAAGAGCACTAAATTTCTTGAATAAACATCTATCTGTAAATATACAATCACTGATATGACACATTGTGAAGGATACAATGTCACCTATATCTTTAGTATTTCTGTTAAATGTATGGAATGAATGCCTTAATCTAAAAAATAGCAGGCACTAATATAATAAGGAAAATCCTACAAAATAATTGGTCTTGGCACCACATAAATTAAGCTCATATTATTTTAAAAAAAAAGAAACAACTGAAGAAACTTTTAGAGACCAAAGAGACATGACAATTATATGTATTAGGTTATCTGGATTAGATAGGGGGGAAGGAAAGTGCTGAAAAATATTTAAACAATTGGTGCAACCTGAATATAGATTTTGGAGTAGGAAATAGTGTAGATGTTTAATTCTATGGCTTTAATAATTGTACTGTGGTTATAAAAAACAATGTCCTTGGTTCTTAGAAAATACAAACTAAAATGGCAGCAAATGCTTAGGTATCTCAGATTTACTCTCAAATGTTGCTCATAAAAAAAAAAAAGGTAGCTAGTCTGATGGATGGATGATGAGAGCAAGGCAGGAAATCATAAAACAAAAGGGGCAAGATACAACCAGCTGAAGAGTATGGGTAAAAAAAAAAAATCTTGTATTCACTTGTATATTCTTGTCAATGTTCTATAAATTTGAAATTTAAATAAAGTGAAGAGTTAACTAAAAATACATACTTTTTTCCTATTTACAACTCTTTTAAATTATCTCTTAAGACAAAGGTTTTTATATATACATATAAGTATATATTATATTTAATTTGTTATTAAATATGCATGAGTTATAAAATAAAGAATGTAAGAGCCAGAGAAAAAAATAAAAATCAACTCCAAAAATACTAAAGTGTTACCTGGGAAGCAAAAACAAAGAATGCATTAATATTTAAAAGATAGCAACTTTAGAGATAATATAAGTGTTATTCAGAATACTCTATAAGAGCACTTTATTTAGTAAATGGTCTAATTAAATCTCTTGGGGAAAAAATGAAACAGATAAGCCACAATCAATTAAATTTCTTACATATTTTCATGAAAATTTCAACTTATACTTAAAATTCTCTTAGTAATATATTTGTCATGTCACATCCTAATTGTATTATTCAGTAGAAAGGATATATCTCTGTCACAAGTAATATAACATTCAGCATGGAACCAAAAGAGCAATAAATCATTATTACAAAAAGTTACGTACGAAAAAAGGTGAACTGCATCACTTTTCTCTTTGATAAAATCTCTCCTGTATTTCATAAACTCACGTAGGGTGATCAATGGATTTTCAGATATGGCAAACTTGTTGTCAGCTGCCCAGGTTTCCATGGCAACCAATACTATCCTTGTCTTAAGTTGGTCTTGATATATCTAGTATATTAACAAAATGAACACACCAGTTGTATATGTGGGGAAATAAAATAATTTGTGAACAGGACTAGAGCAGTTCCTCTCTTTTATGGAAACTGAGTTTTAACTAAAAGTAAGAAATCCTATGTTTTTTTCTAAGAGACCCCATCCCCTAATTTACATGCATTTCTTAGGCAACAAAGAATCAAACTATTTACCAAATAAACCTAAAGAACAGAACTCTAGTTAGAAGCAAAGGATTGTCTTTAGAAAAAAGCTAACAGTTTCTATGAAGACTCCTTACTGAGTCTGTTTTCTGGAACACTGGACAAATAAGTTATGTTTTCTTGAGTTGCAGCAAGAAAGACTCTTCAGGAGATAATTTCTACACCATGACTGGCTCTAATTAAAATTCATTGAGAAGGTCCTATATGGTCAAAGGAAATGATCACATGGAATTCACAGATGCATCATCACACAACACTGGGCCTTTTCTTTTCATTGTTTTTAAGGATTCTCTACTTTTAGAAGGGCATGGAATTCCTTATGGTTACATCTCAACCTTTGTCTTATCAAGCGCGATCAATGCAGGAATGAATTTCAGAAACAAATCGGTGAAAATCTTCGACCATTTTCTTTTGTCACCTTCCCAATCACAGATCGAAGTCAATAAAACCCATTGCAAGCTTACTAAGGATTTTCAGAACATCTTGGATAACGGTTAACTCAGCACTTTGAAGTATAAAATTCATACTATCCACACTACTAACAAATAATACTTCCGTATGCCACTGAATTGAGTTGATACTTACAAAATCTGCCATGTTCACCACTGATTTCGCATAGGTATTAGTATGCACTACTGAAAGACGGTGTTTTTTAAACTGCAATTTAAAGGGAAAAAAATGAATGGTATTTTTCATCTTTATATATTGCTATTATTTTTTAAATAAAATTTTTATTTTTGAAAAAAAGGAAATATCTATCTCAGCAGAAAAAAAAACCCAAACCCAAAATAGTTTAACTGAAAGCCCCCCTAAGGCATTCTATAAAACTAAGATTAGAGGCCTAGTTCTCAATATGCTGTATAGCCTGAGTCAAGGGAGCGCAGGTAGCCTAGTGGTGAGGAGTTACTCTTTCAACCTAAAAGTACAGAGTTCGGAATCTACCAGCTGCTCCACGGGAGAAAGACGGACACTCTCCTCCAGTGAGAGTAACTGCCTCTGAAAACCCACTGGAGGGTCAGCTATGTGTTAGTTCTGATTTAATGGTACATAATATACCAATGTAACAAAGCCCGAGGCAAGCTTCTTGCAAACTTCAGACTTCAAACAAGTAATGCCTGGGATGTCGTAGAAAAGTAGTAAGTATGCACTTCAACCATTTCACAAGCTTGTTTTTATCAGAATTGTAATTCAAAACTATCAAATATATGAAAGTTATCCGCTAATTAGGGTATTATGCAAAGTATGCATATATAAATGAGAATAGATTTTAAAAAGTATTATGAACATGACTAAAATGATAAAAACGTACAGGTTCTATAAGACTTATTCAGCAATGAGAAGAAAGCCTTAAGGTAAGGGTGGCTTAAAAGGTGGTCCATAGGAAGACACTCAGATAGCCAAGAGACTCATGAAGAAGTACTCAAAATGACTGGCAATAAGAGAGATGAATATCAAAACCACAATGAGGTACCATTTCACCCCAGTAGCAGTGGCAAAGTTTAGAAGGGCAGAAAGCTAGAAATGCTGGAGAGGATGTGGACAGGTGGGAACTTTCATACACTTGTGGTGGGACTATAAAATGTTACAACCACTCTGGAAAGCAGTTTGGCATTTCTTAAAAAAACTGAACATACAAACTCCATATGACATAGCTGTTCTACTACTAGGAATATACCTCAAGGAAATTAGAACTGAGACACAAACAGAGATTTGTACACCACTGTTTATAGAAGCAATATTCACCATTGTCGCAAGAACATGGAAACAGATCAAATGTCCAACTACAGCTGAATGGATTGAGAAATTGTGGCGTGTTCACACAATGGAATACTATATGGCACTCAAAAGAGATGATTTCAAAAAATACTACTACATACCTTGAGAGAAACTAATGCCGAGTGAACTAGCTCAGTCTCATGAGGACAAATATTGCATAAGACTATTATTGTAAAAATAAAAATAGTAAAAAAATAAAAATAGTAAAAAAAAATATTGGAAAACTAGTAAATATATATGGGGATCCAAGGGGAAAAGGGTAGAAGCAGGAGGGTAAGTATGGTTAGGGGCGAAATCACAAATTTGCACAATTTGGTAGGTGGAGGGAGAGGGAAATGGGAAAGATTCGGTAAGGACCTGAAAAGACAAGGTAATGGTAGGCATAGTACAAGGTGATTAATTTTATAAAACATAATGAATGGAAATGATTGCATGGAAGACAATGTAAATTAAAAATAGAGTGAAACAATGTATATCAACTATGTAAGCAAATGAATACAAAATAATTAAAAAAATTTTAAAAAAGATGGCTCATAGGTTAGATATGGTTCACATACATCTTTTGTTGTACCTAACAGTATTTTAAAAATCTACCAATGTCATATGAATCAGATTTCAGGTTTCATTTAAAGCCAGCTTTCTGAGGGAGAGGCCATGCACTTTCTCTTGTGCTACACGCCTCACCACTCTTTATGGGTTTTACAATTGATCATTTCACTTGCATTATCTGCAAACTGCTGAATTTGTGACTTTCTAAAATATGTTCCCTTAACTCTTATTCTTTAATATCACAAGAAACATTCCAGTAAGTAAAAGATGAAACTTAGTCAAACTTAAGTCTGAGCCTGAGCAAGAACGTATTCTTTTATCAGAAACAACACTCCACCTTGATTGTATTACTGTTAATGTTGATGTTGAGTACCATCGAGTCAGAACCAACCCATAACTGCTGATTCTCCAGCACATTATCAGAGTTTTAAATCAAGTGCCCATCAACAAACAAGTGGACAGAGTAGCTGTGGTATATTCACACAGTGGAATAATATGCAGCACTGAAAAACAGGGAACTCATGAAATATTATACAAAATAGGTGACCCTGGAGGACATTATGCTGAGTGAAATGTCTCAATCACAAAAGGACAAATACTGCATAATGCCACTGTTATAAAACAGGACTGCCATGGGAGCTGGGGGAGACTAAGAAAGATGGGATAAATAATGTACACTATATTGAAAAGATAAGAGAAAGAACTGCTTAAAAAGAATATGTGAGTAGGTATTATTTGCATGACAATAGTCTAGAATAAGAGCTGCATAGTAAAGTGGACAGAGGTGGGTGAAAAAAAGAATTTTTTTTTCAAGGAGAAAAGTGAACTGGGGGAATGCAGGGAGGAAAATGTGCAACAATGAATGAATGGAAATCCAAATTCTCTATAAACTTTCATTAAAATCTCAATTAAAAAAATCACACAGGAAGAGACTGTCCATCTTTCTCCTGCAGAGCAGCTGGTGGATTTGAACTGCATGCCTTCAGGCTGGCAGCACAGCTCCTTACCACTAGGCCACTAGAGCTTCCTAATTAAGACTATGGTATTACCATCTTTAAGCATATTGTATTATTCTCTTTAAGAATATCACTCTTTACTTTAATCCCATAAAAATGAATGATACACCTTTCCCTAAATAAACAACTGGGGTAATGAGGGTAGGTGTGTCAGAGAAAATAAGATTCGTGCAGGATAGAGCAGGGTTTAAAGCTGTTGCACATAGGGTCACTATGAGTCACAGGTGACTTGATGATACATAACAACAACGAATCATGTAAAGTAAATTGTAAGGCGTTCACAAGTGAAATGAAGTAAAATGTAGCAAAACGCCTCAATTAGCAGGTACTGAGTTTAGTTAAAACTCTAGTTTCAAAGAACCTACTAGTGTGCTATGAACACCATCACACTGACGGCAATATACTCACGAACTGAATGAACCCAGACCCTCTGGGTCAGAATAACTGGCTAAGCGTGAAGGGGCTTCTGGCATGCTCTTACTCTAAGACTCTTTCTTGATTACATAAATGGGCATTCCCACAGGGTTTTTGATGAATCAAGATAGAAAAACGGTCCACTGGACTTTTGTAGGGATAAAGCTGTACATTGCAAACTAAAGCATCACATTATTACTGCTTCATTATAATGCTCTAATGGGCATTTCTATTTTTTTCAAAACTTGTTACTTAGTAAATGCTAATATTGGCACATATATTAACTAAAAATATAAAAGGTTGATACTATAAGCCACATGAACATTTTTTAAATTTTATTTTATACTGAATTGCATACAAGCTTCGTATACTTTGTGTTTTGTTCATATATATTGTGCTTCACACATCCCTTCTCCTTCACACTGTATTACACATAATTACTTCTATGCATTGTGTTTTATAAAATCAATCTGTGCCTACTACTACTTCGTCTTTTCAGGTCCGAATTGGATCTTGCTCATCCGTTCACATCCTGCCCCTCAACCTGCCCGCCCACTGAACTTGGATAGCTAAGAACATTTTTTTGAGCCTCACACAGTATTTCCCAGTTACTCCCATCCCAGAGAGTTTTCTACTTGAAGGAGATTCAGCCCAGCTCGGTGCCTTTCAATCAGAGCCACGCCATGGCTGCCCCTCCAATGGCTCTCCAGATGCTGTAAACCGCATGGGAGAAGACTGCCCATCTTTCCCCCTTCGAACTGCTGGTGGCTTGAATCAGCAAAGAGGGGCTGCCTTTGCGTTAGCAATACAACTCCCTGCAGACTCCACTGCCCAGCTCCCTTGAACGTTACAGGGTAAGAAAACAGGTTGGCTGTACAAATACCTGTCCACACTGCAACTGGAGTGGCTCCTTAGTTATCCCAATTTGAACCCCTAAGATTCACCCTGAAGAAAAAAAATCAACTCCTACCATGAGATGATCATTCACAATCATCAGTTCAATATATTTGGTTTCCTCCTCTACGTTCCGAGGATATCGGTGAAGCTGAAATACAGGAAAGAAAATAACACCTAAATATACCGTCTAAGTGTGGCTGTGAAGGGTAAGATACACAGGACAAGTGAACAAGAAAACTTTCTCCTTTCTTTCCTTTTTTATGTTTTAACATTCTCATTAACTTACTTCGTTTTTAAGCACATAATATGCATGTGCATGTTTCAAAGATTTTTAAATACTAAAACAGGATAGTATTTTTTAGGATGGGACGGGATGGGACGGGACGGGACGGGACAGGACAAGACAGGACAGGACAGGATAGGATAGGATGACAGTATTTTCCTTTCACCTCTATCCTCAAAATACCTAGTGTCAATCCTTTTCCACCATTTCCATAAATCCTTTTCCAGCATTGTCCATAAATTTTTATTCCAAGGTAATAAAAAGATGGTACCTGGTTCCTTCAACCACTTGATGATACTAGGTATCTATTCTATAACGCCGATTTTCATTTCTTGTTTACTTACACAGGCAAGAGTTTCCAATTCATCAGTCACTCCATGGGATAAAGATGGGCAATCTCCTCCTATGTGACTGACTGCCTCTGAAAACCTGCTGGGTTTGCTTCTAGGATTGGGTTCCTGCTCCATGATACTGGACAAGCAGCATATGCTCAGGGCATAAAGTCTGTCGGGAACTGTGCTGCTAATCCGTACACGGCACCTCTCCCATGGTTCAAATCCAACAGCAGTTCCTTGGGAGAAAGACAAGCAATCTCTACTCAGGTGCTTGACAGTCTCCCAAAATCCACTGGAGGGTCCACTATGAGTCAGCTCCCAGTTAACAGCCATCAGGCAGCATGTAAACCATCCCGATCATGATGATAAACTCAGGATGCTGATAACCAGGGCTTTAGTTCGTCTAAACCATTTACCAGCTCTATGACTCTAAACAAGTCATTTTCACATTGAGGAACTGTAATTTTTCTTCCTGTGAAAGGGGAATGTTAATATCTACTTCCTGGTTTAACTCAACGCCATCAAGTTGGAATCGACTCACAGCTCACCCTCTTGGGGGGTTTCTATTAAAAACAGCATTGGAGGAGACTGCCTGTCCTTCTTCTATGGAGCATCTGGTAGACTCAATCCACCTGATTTAGTGGTAAGCAGTGTGACTCTTGACCAGAAAGCCCCTGGGATCCTATGGTTTAAAGCACTACACAAAAAGTCTCTATTTTATTACTGCTAAGTTTAAGATCCACTGAAAATTTACTAAGCTGGTATCTGAATCTTATATTCTAGACTCCAAGATAGTCTGATATGAGACAGGAGCATTTTATGGCTTTAAAACTTTATGGATTTAACTCAAAATTAAGGGTAAGTTCTATTAAAAAAAATAAATGGAAGAATAAGTAACACACAAGTTGTTGTAAGTGGTAGTGGTGGTACTGGGTGCTGTGGTGAGTCAGCTATGACTCACTGTAACTCAATGAACAGCTGATCTAAATTCTGCCCTGTCCTGCGACATCCTCATGATCTGTTATGCTTGAGGCCAGTGAGTCAGCCACTCTGTCACTCCATCCTGGAGAAGGCCTTCCTCTCTTCCGCTGACCATCCACATTTGACAGCATGATATCTTTTTCCAAAGATTGGCCCTTCTTGGCAATGTACTCAAAGTATGTGAGACGAAGTTTAACCATCCAGTCCTGTAAGGAACACCCTGGCTACACTTCCTCTGAGTCAGACTCATTTATTATCTTTGTAGTCCATAACTTGGTGCTGCCACTGTTGTTATGGGCAGTAAGTCAGAAATGACTGATAGCTGACCTTCCAAGGGGGTTTCTATAGGCAGTTAAGCGCATGTAAGGAGATGGGCCATCCTTCTCCCACAGAGCTGCTGGTGGATTTGAATCCTAAGGCTTGGAATTACAGCACAGCTTCTTACCTCTAGGCCACTGGAGCTTCCTAAGTAGACACCATAATTTAGTACAAGTGCAGGCAAGGAAAAAAGTCTACAGAAGAAAGACTTTGATATGCCATGAACCAGGAACCCGCTATCCATTTAGAGAACAAAGAAGCGCATTATCACTCCTATCTAGGATCCCTTTAGAGTCTATAAAGTAATATGACTTCACATCCACTTAAACAGACCTATCACCTCTACTGCTTACCACATCTGACAAGTGCCTGAACAGATATACATCCTCTCAGAGAGAATTAATGTAGATTCACAGGATCAACCACAGCAACTGGTTTGTTTTTGTTGTTTTTTTTTTTTTTAAATTATAAAATATATCTGAGAGCACATACCTGCCTTTTACTCCTTTTCGGTCTTGGCTTCACAATAAATTTTGGTGAAGTGATGTTGACTTGTTGGAATTCTAAAAGGGGGGGAAAAGCATTTATTTTTATTTAGTGAATTTACCAGTCTTAATCAGTACAAGGCAATCAGAATTTTACCAAAGCCTCCTTTCTTTTCCTGAACAGTTTAAGATATAAATTGCCTTTAATAACAACAACAGAGAATGAGCCTACATAGTTGTAGGGAAGCTCTGGTGGAAGCTCTGGTGGCCTAGTGGTAAGAAGCTGCACTGCAGTTCCTAAGGCACACAGTTCAAATACAGCAGATGTCTCAAGGAAAAAAGTATAGGCAGTTTCCACCTATGTGATTTACTGTCTCTGAAAACCAACTGGAGGGTCAGCTATGGGTTGGTTCTGACTCAACAGCAAACACCAGCCACAACAGTTGTGTTCAAATTAATACTAAAATGTACGTTGTATTGTTCTTATGTGCCGTCAAGTCAAATGTATAGTATGGATAATAAATAAACATCACAAGAACCACTCTGGCTCTATTTAGCATCAAATTATTTCCCATATTTCTATTAATTCTATCATATTCATTGTCAGGAATAGCCTAAATAGATAACTTGAACTCCCAGAACTGACCTTTTAGAGGCAGCAAAATAGAAGGAAGAGGAGCAATGGGAAACAAATAACTGCATTGTCAACAGATAATAATTCATGAAAATAATTTAACAGGGGCCAAAAACTTCAAGCTAATTTCTCCCAATTAGTTTACATTCTCTTTTGCCCATAACTAAATTTATCTCAGGCTGGGAGGCTTTGAACCCTTTTTAATTTGCAGGCCAGCGTCAGACATCATTTGGTTTTGTATATAGACTCAACTCTGGACATAACACTAGAATATTAATGAAATCTTCCCATGAAGTATTAAAAAAATTACAATAACTTCCTATAGCACAGATGTCTTAAAACTTGATGGTTGATTCAGCAAAATGAAGCAGTTAGATACTGCTTGCATGAAATAAAAAAATCCTCTGAAATCACACTACAATCTCAAAATGTGCTCACATTCCATATGCATGCATAATGTTGACTGCCTTCGAGTCCAGCATGATTCATAGCAACCCTATGAACAAAAGGCTTGAAGTCCCTCTACAACTATCAACATTTATCAAAGGTCATAGAATTTCCAGAGGAATGTTGTTTAGGAAGTAGAAGCCACTCCTGCTTCCAAGCTTGGGGGGGGGGGGACGACGGGAGGGATTATCTTCTATCAACCTATGTAATTTCCATGGAATTGTTGCCAAATCTTTTTATTCGCCCAAAGCTGTTGCCAACACTCATTTAAAGACTTTCTTTTTTCAGTATCCTAACTGAATCAGCAGGCAATACCTAACTAAGCTAATTTTTAAATAAAACTTATATTTTTAAGATAGACCATGTTTAAACATTGTGCAAAGGGAGAGATGAACATGGTCAGAAAACTCTCTGGTAAATAAGCTGAGCACGAATACAAGCCACGGCAGTTGATCTTGGCTATTTATAGTTCGATATTTAAACATGCGCCATCCTGCTGCTTTGAAGAAATACAAGAGATGTGGTAAGGAGGCGAAGATGCACTCTCTCATAATTAACTTGCAAGATAAACAGAAAGGGAAAACAGGAAGACAGAATTAAACTCAATCATATCAACAATTATATGTGATTGCATTAATGCAAATAAAATAAACATTTGAGTCAAATTGTAGGGATCACTAGACCAGATTTTTCCCCCCTGCATATGGTCTGGGTATATGCTATTTAGAAAAGGAACACTCTAAGTACAAAAGATGGGGGAAATAAAGATATCTTACAAATATTAACCAAAGGAAAGCTGTGCTGTAAATATTAACCCTGAACCCTTAGGGCAATAAATATTACAAAGGAAACAAAGGACTATTCCATGATGATGAAAATATCAAATCATCAAAAAGACACAACATCCCAAATGTTTAGCTAGTTAATTGACAGACCTTCAAAATACATGAAGCAACAACTGACAGAACTAATGGGGGGAAAAAAATAAACAAATCCACATATATTGTAGGAGATTTCAATACATCTCCCTCAGAAATTGACCAAAAAAAAAAAAACACCCCAAAACAAAACCCTAACCAGAATATCTTAGTACATGTTGTCGTTCTTATTTCTTATGTCCCGTTGAGTTGCTTGTGACTCACAGAGACACTATGTACAACAGCTCTGCTCTATCCTGGGCCAACCTTATTATCTCTGACACACCTACTCCCATTACTGTAGTCACCATTCCATCTCATTGAGGATCTTCCTCTTTTGTGCTATACCTCTATCCTCCCAAGCATAACATCCTCAAAAGATGAACTGCACCAGGACAGTCTGTTGTCAGGGACCTCTCCAGAGTGCTGATCCAGGCTATGTACTTCACAATTACTTGCTATGGATCAGAAAACTGGACAAAAAAAAAAAAAAAGAAAACTGGACAATGACTAATAATCGATGTCTTTGAGCTGTGGTATTGGAGAAGAGTATTGAATAGACCATGGATGGCTAGGAGAACAAACAAGTTTGTCCTAGAGAAGATGAAACCAGGTTTCTCCTTGGAGGCAAGGATTCTCAAATCTTAAGTATGTAGATGACTTAAAATACTGTTAGCAGATGAGGGAGAAAACTGTTTAAAAGGGATATGTGATTAGGTATTTTTGTCATGACAGGAGACCAGAGCGAAGGCTGCATAGTGAGTGGAGTGGACCTGGGGAGAGGAATTGTAAAGCAATGAAATTTTTTTTTTCCAAGAGGGGAAAAAAAGTGTAACAATGAATGAACAGAAATCCAGTCTCTGTAAATTTTCATTGAAATTAATAAAAATTTTTTTTTAAAGCCCAAATATTGTTAGCTAATGTGAATGAAGAAAGCTCTCATGACCTAATGGTAAGGAGTTGTGCTGCCAATCCAAAGGCACGTGGTTTAAGAAAAAAATACGGGCAATTCTCCTCCAGTGCAATACAGAGCCTCCAAAAACCTGCTGGAGGGTCAGCAACAGGCCAGTTCCAATTTGAAGGTCACAACAGCAACAACAATGATAATGAACTGCCATGTTAAACACTTCACTCACCCAAGGCAGACTATACACCCCTTTTAAGAATTCATAAAATATTCACCAAGACAAGTACATGCTAGGCCATATACAAGTCTCAATGAATGTAGATGAATAAAATATGCAAAAATGGTTAAGGATTCAGTTGCGAACAGAAACATGGGTGGTTGGAACCTACCAGGAGTTCCTCTGGAAACAACAGGCCTGGTAATCTCTCTCATCAACATTCACTCCCCAGAACCAAAACCCACTGCCAAAGAATCAATCCAGAGGGATGGTGAAAATGCAGGAGGGAGTGGAACTGCCCACAGGGTTTCCAAGGCTAGAAATGTTTATGGGAACGAAAGGACTACATTGGTAAACTCTGCTTTCAAGAACTTCTCCAAAGTGATAAAGAGGATAGATGTCTGTTTAAAGATGCAAAGATTGGTCTTTTAAATTACTTCCTAAACATATGAAAGTTGGACAATGAACAAAGATGACAGAAGAAGAACTGAAGCCTTTTGAGTTGTGGTGCTGAGAAATGTATTGAATAGTCCATGGACTGACAAAAGAATCCATCTTGGAGGACGGGCAACCAGGGTGCTCCTTGAAGGCAAGGATGGTTAAAGCTCATCTCATTTGCTCTGCGTTGAGTATGTTTGATCAGGAGGGTGTGTGACCAGTTCTTAGAACAAGTTATCAGGGTGGGAAAGGCCGAGGGTCAGCAAAAGAGAGGAAGACTCTCTGTGAGGTGGACTGACACAGCATGGCAGAGATCTTGAGAATGGTGTGGGACAGGGCAAGGTTCAGATTTGCTGTTCATAAGAGTCACTAGATAGCTAACTTGACAGCACCTAACAAAAACAGCAACAAATATTTATGAAAATAGATTGGTTCATTTTTCTTCCACAGAGCAGCTAGTGAATCCAAACTGTGAATCTGTTAGCTAATAATAATACAATACTTGGGAACTCTGGTGACCTAGTGGCAAGAAGCTGCACTGCAATCCCAGAGGTGCACTGTTCGAATCCTCCAGATGCTCTGCTGAGGAAGGAGGGACAATCTCCTCCTGTACCAGTCAGATCTAATTTGACGGTACCCACACAAAAAAGTAATAAAATAAAAATTTAAAAAAGTAAAAAAAAATAATACAATACTTGACACACAGCAGCACCGGAGCTCCTGTTCATAAAGATTACTGCCTGGAAAATCCTATGGGGCAATTCTGTCATACACTGTCTCTATGAGTCAGAACTGACTCAGTAGCATACAGTAACAGCAATATTTCCTGTTACCACAGTTCAATTAAATGAAAAATTAGTAACAAATAGGTATCACTATCTTTTAACTTTAACTGTATATTAAGGTGCACAGCTCTAAATAACCTATGGAACAAAGTAGAAACCATGAGGGAATTGGAAAAACTGACTTATCTAAATGCATGGATGCAGTGTTTAAAGGGAATGTACACCTTTAAGTAGTAATGTTGGAAAAGAAAAAGTAACTTCAAGTTATAGTTGTTATGTACCACTGAGTCAGAACCAACCAATACCTGACCTTCTGGTGCTTAATCACACAAGAGATTATCCATCCTTCTCCACCAGAGCAGTTAATGGATTAGAACTGTGTGCCTTTGAGATTGTAGTGCAGCTCCTTGCCACTAGGCCACCAGAGCTCTCTTTGTTGTTGTTGTTATGTGCCGCTGAGTTGCCTGCAACCCATAGGGACCCTCTGTACAGCAGTTCTGAACCCTTTCCTGTCCTGAGCCAGTCTCACTAATTCTGACACACCAACCCCCATTGCCCCAGTTACTGTATCAATCCATCTCATCCGGGGTCTTCCTCACCTGTGCTGTCCTTCTCCAAGGACCAGTCTCTCCTAGCCACATGTCCAAAGTATGTGAGACGGAGCTTCAAAATCCTAGCCTTCAAGGAGAAACTTGGTTTCACCCTCTCCAAGAGAGACCTCTTTGTTTTCTTG